CACACACACACACACACAAACACACACACAGGCACAGATCTTGAGAACTGCACTGCGCAGGACAGGGATCAGCGATCCCCGGGTTTCCAGGCTGACCTTNCACAAACACACACACAGGCACAGATCTTGAGAACGGCACTGCGCAGGACAGGGATCAGCGATCCCCGGGTTTCCAGGCTGACCTTTGTTTGGATGCAAGTTCTCAGCATTGGTAGAAGCACAGGGCCACGCCCAGGGCTGCAGCTTTCAAGCCTCCGGCTCCATCCCTCTCTCCTGCCCAGCTTCCCCTTCCCCTGCCAGAGACCTACCTTCTCCCGCAGAGGCAGTTAGTTCACTTGCCCACATGGACCACCCACCTCCAGAGTCCCCGGACTCAGAACAGATGGAAATACTTTTCGCTTAATAAGCAATTCACTTGTTTCTGAGCTTTCTCCCCATCTTTGGCTTCCTGATATGCAATCTGCTCTGGGGCCTGAAGGTGTGCAGGAAAGGGGGCTGCTGCAAGGAGGGGGCGGGGAGGAAAGGCATCCTCGGGGAACCAGGTTCCAGCCTTGAAAAGACAGGGCCCTGGGTTCCAGTCTTCCCCGGCCTCGGGTTCTGGCTGCCTCGGCAAACCTGGCTTTGAACCCCGCCAATACTTCATTTCAAAGAATCCCAGTAAGCTAGGGAGAGTCAGAAAATTGGCAGGAAAGAAGGCAAAGTAACTGTCTTGTCACCCTCATCTCAAAGCCAGTCAAGGTGGTTTCATTCTGCAGGTTTTGTGAGGTTTCTGTTTTTTCCACCTGGCCTCTGATGTGTGGATGTTCAGCCTCGACTCACATTGATCCAGCCCCTCCTGTATGTCAGGACCTGTGTTAGGAACTTTATAGACACAGCCCATGTGGCCCTCACCAATCCCCAAGGGAGTATGCATTGGCGCCCCCATTTTTCCAGTGAGGAGTCTGAGACTCAGAGTTTAAGTGACCTTCCCACAGTCCCAGAGGTCACACATGATGGGGAAGGATTCAGAGCCAGGGCCTCGTTCTCCCCTCTGCCGTGAAGATGTGTGCAGGATCCCAGCATCGATACCCC